TCAGAACTCCTACTAAATCTAACGTACAGAGCTGACTCCTTCCTTCAGAATATAATCTAGTTATGTTGCTCAGCAATCACTTTGCAGGCAAAAATACAATTCTCAAAGGCACCTGAAATCGCCCCAACTTTCGCTTTTTTCGCTCCAAACGCCAGCCCTGTGGAGTAAGACATTTACTCATAGGCTGCTCGTGAGCTGATAGTGATGGTCAGATATCGGCGTTACATAGATAGTGCTTCTGGTCGAAAAAAAAAACGATTACGATAAAGAGAAAGCGCATCGGGGGAAGTATATGCGGCCACGAAGCAGTTACTTGGCTGTCAAAAAGGAGAGGTGGACGCTTTCACCACGAAAGGTGCGCTGGTTGCTGAGCAGGACTTCGAAAGCACTCCGCCCCAAAGGCGTTCCTCCCTCTAGTTTACTTGCTGAACTGAACGAGCTGTGCTGCCAGCAGCGGCACAACTGAAGCAACTCGATTGGAGCAAGCACGGGTTGGCATGGTGCCACCAAATGCGTTACGGTAAACTCGCTCATGTGTCCGCTGAACGACACGTTGCCTATACATAATCAAAAGACATCGCACAAATGGGGGTCCGCGCTCTACGCTTCCTGTCGGTTTCTCTGCTTTCTTTGCCAATGGTGTGCCATTGAGCACCCTCGCAGCCCCTCTAAAACACTCCAGTAATTACCGCAATCGCTGCTTTTATGTAAGCTCGAAAAAGAAGTTCAAAAAAACACAGACTTCCGGGACAACCTAATGCCTTAATAAATATACAGGTAGAAATCGCTATTGCATGTTATTTTATTATTTATTTGAATCATTTGCTATTTATTAGATATTTTTGGCCTTAGTCATCTTTTGACAGCTCTGTCAGCTAGATTCGCGCAATAACGCTTCATTACGGCTTATGTTAGAAGAGTCCTTAACACTGTTGCATGTCGTCTTAAACGTCTTTAGTATAAAAGCGAGAATAGCCTACAAGCGAAGATTGCTCAGCTAGAGGGGGGGGGGAAAAATGGTGGCCAGCAGATCAGGACGCTCATGTGAGCAGATAAGAACCTGGCGGGTTAGACTATGCTGCTGGTGACAAAAGCTCTTTCAGGGACAATGGGCGATTTAGCTAGAACTTGACTAAGAAGCATCACACGACTCCCACGCTTACTATGCTCCTTTATATCTCTTCGTTACAGTAGATTTTACACTATTTATAAAATGTACTTTTTTGAACTGAAAGATTCAGCATCGTAAACGATTCTTTCCGTATGATGGCATCTGAATTCCTAGCAAATTGTGCGTTCCCTGATTCTGCCTGTAGAACTGGTTGGCTCGTAGAGTTTGTCACAGTTTTTGAGTGAAAATATCTCATGGCTACCGCAAGCGACACAAATTGTTCAAAGTTTTCGTGGTTTCAGGGCCCTCTTATGTCACTGGACCAAATTAAGGATAACCTAAATTAATGCATGAAGGTAAACCATAACCACCACTACCATAGCTACCACTTGCACCGCTCCCTACAATGGAGAAGGGGGTCGTTCAAGAAATGCCACGAGTTTTCAGGATCTTTGGCGTGTTTAGGAGCACCACTGTGCTCACCCTGTGCAAGATAGGCTCCAAGAATTTCCTAAAGGAATGGTTGTAAGGCTTTTGGCATTTCTTGAATCCTTCAGCGAGCCAAACTATAATATTTGGTTTTAGCCTCTGCTAACGATTCAAGAAATGCCAAAAGCCTTGCAATCATTTCTTTGGGAAATTCTCAGAGCCTTTCTTGCACAGGGTGGGCAGTTTGGCTTGAACACGCTAAGCCCTCACAAAAGTTTTCGAATTTTTCATGTTCTCACTCGCTTTGTTTCTCTGGGTTGGGCGCTACCACACGCGCTACATGTGCGGTGGTCCTACATAAAGCCTTTGCTTCGGAGCGCCTTTCAGGAATGGTGAAGTCCTGGACTTTCCGTTGAGTTCTGCTGCAAGAAGCACTTAGAGTCAGGAGCCTCAAAGGCACGATGTCGGGAATTGGGCTAAAAGCCAATCTTCCAAGAGGGAGACACTGTTCGAAACTCAAAGTGTGACGGCTAACTGGGCTAAGGCCTTACCTTACATGGCTGTGCTGGCATCCCTATCCCTCAGTTACGATGTACTCTTTTGGCGTGTGCCCGCAACTCGCCAGAGCTATGTCTTACGTCATGCACGTCGCTTCACAAGGGGACTTTAGCCTCTTCTTCGCGTGCGTTTTTGCTTTTTTCCATAATAATGCCTCATTGATTATTTAGTGCAAACACAATAACATGCTACAATTCAGACTTCGTTCTCTGAAGAAATATCCGTGGTTGGTAGCGATGTCGATTGGGAGCATTTCTGACTTATGAATCAATGCATTGTTATCACAAACTCCTACATTTGTTTTGTCCACAACGCGATTGGGACAGTTCTTATCAGATTGTGGCATCCTCGAAAAAAAGTCCGATTTTGCTCTTAACGGAAGTCGTCATTCACAAACCTGTCCAAAGGATTCTCTGTAATGCCACACTGCCATCATTTCGGAGATTGAGTCAATCTTGGCTTCGCGGTGGCTAAAAAATTGTACTTAGGGGACAGCTCGAATTTGTACTCGGGGACAGCTTGCTTTCTGAAGGATTTTCTTTCAATTTCACTTTAATTTTTTTTATTATATTTGCTCTTGGCGTCGGATCCACTCAGCACCGATTTGGCCATCTCACAGCCACTGAAAAAATTGGTGGACATAAGAATATTGTGGCGCCGAAGTGGGTCACGGAGAACATACAGTATTCGTTCAGAGCGGTCAAGTTTATGTCCGGCTTTTTTGCCCGGGAAATCTTGTGATTGGGGGTCTTCTGTATAGACAGTGGTGCATGGAGGCAGTATGGCTGAAGGGATTCACTAGGAAAGTGTTGTACATACTAACTTGGCGTTCGGAATCAGTCAAAGTCGGATCATAGTTGGTTGGACGTACATTATCTCTCGATGTAAGTTTCAGGGGCTAATAATTTCTTTGCAGTAATCAATTTAAGGTGTATCGTGTCGAGGGCATAAATCGCTGATTCTTCGAATGTCTTTCATTTTTCTCAGAAAAACTGATTTCGCAACGGTAAAACTCTCAAATTCAGGCCAAAGTGGTCAAAAAATAAAAGCCGCTTCTTGAGAATGAAATAGTTCCTGCGCCTTACCCACTGACAGAACCCAGCTGCGACCGTTCCGAGCATTGAACCGATCGCTTCCTAGGATATTTTATCAGTTCAGGAAGAAGGGTTAAATGGCCTCATACTGGGTATCTTCTTGTACGTGCGATTCGGCTCACGGTAACTTCAAGCTCTTAACTTTGTTCACAGATACTGCGATGAGAGACAGATTTGTAGATCAACGCCGCAAGATACGCACACCATTCGGGCGGCCGTATCAATCTTCCCGCGGGATGGATTGAAAGCGGCCCACTCTCCGGGCACATGCAGCCAAGACATGAGGGTGATCCAACAGAGTCAACCCTGCGTTGCGCAGTTCGCAACGGCACGTTGAGAGATCCTCAACGCACGCTGTATGGGCGGAGACACAGACGGCTCGAGCATGCGAGTGTGAATGTTCGCGCGAGAGAACGTGTCTAATCGGGCGAAACTGCGCAACGTGGCCGTTGAGAACTGCGCAACGCAGGGTTGACTCTGCTCATCCCCACGCGAGGATACCCCAGGCTGGGGAGATAAGCTCGATCGGTGAGGACGGGGTGAGGCGGATTCATCCCCCCGGATTGGGGTGACGGCGTCCATTCTCTCGGTGCGGGCTCTGCGGCACCCGACTGATTCATCCTGTGCAGTTTCTTGGGGGGGGGGGGGGGAGACAAATAAGGGCCCGTCATAGGACACATTACCCTTGTTTCTATCAGCGCACAGTTACGGCAGCTCGACTATCTTCCAACTGTTGAAACGCTCTTCTGAGGAGTCGCGCTGCTCCCTTTGGCAGATAGAATCACAGAAGTATCGCGGTCCTATGACGCAACCCTTTCTCGTCCCCCCCCCCAAAGCTGGGGGAGGATTGAATCAGAGGAGGGGCGTAGCCCTAGAGGGGAAGGATTGAATACGTTCCAACGCCATTAAATAGGATCTTGAATGGTATTCTAGCACTGCACTTTGTCTAAGAGCTGAAGGGATAGCAGCTCATTGCATGGACTGCGCCACGCACTCGGCTCTTGTGCATATTAGAAGGACAGTTTTAATGTTCTACCATGAACGGATAGGATCTACGATTACGATGACCAAACCTACAACATGTGTGATCTTATTAAACAGAAACTTCTCGTGCAAACTGCTTTACCCTGCTGTTCTGCACACAACGAGAAGCTGTCCAGAATTCGCCAAAGCGCTAAAGCCAATTGTGTCACCCCCTTCCGCCTTTTCCGTGCCCATATAGACCTTTTATTAAATTTGTAGCGACGACCACTGCAAGGAAGCTTTACGCGAAGATGCTACATCATATGTAACTGTTTAATCGAATTTAATAATCGAATTGATAAATTATATACATCTAGATATCATAACAATCCCATATGTATGTATTGCTTTAACCAAAGCGCGACTATTCTTGGAAAAAAAGAGAGATCACGTTAACATTCTATTACTTTTGGGCAGAGCTACGTGGGCCACAAGAATACACAAATCAAGACAATCGAGCACTGCGCATGAAATAAGCGACGAAGAATAAGTAAAGGATTCATGTGAGCATGCAAAAATAAGTACCATAGCTGGGCCTGGTGTTTACAAACCATTACAAAAGTTACTATTGAAAGAACAAATAGATTTTTGTCAGTAGAATTAGAATATAGTTAAGAAGAGATTCAAGCGAAAGTTAAATGTGCACGTTGCAGGAACTGTGAATTACACGCTGTGCAATTATAGCGAAACCAAAAATTCGAAAAAAAAGTGGCGCCGTACTTTCACAATATCAACCAAGTTAGAAATATCTTGTTACGAGTCCAAGGTAAGTAAATACCTGAGATTTAGAAACAAAGATGAGAAAAATATTTCTTGTAGATTTTTGGATGGTGTTCCCTGAACAATTCGCATTTTTTCTGCTTTTCAGCGTTAGATAAATTGTTACTATCAATAATGGCCATCAAAGCGTGAGCCACTTCAGCATCGGCGTCGAATTTTCCCGTGGAGGGTTCAGCCTCGCAGTAACGAACAGGTACCATTGCGTTGTCGGCGCCTTCTCTGAAACTTCTATACAATACATACAAGAGGAAGTGAGTGTATGTAGGAAATGAATGGAAAAAGAGGAAATGCCAAGCATCATTTTACAGCGACGAACTACTACAATCATCTCTCTGCTTTGATATCATGTGATGGATCTCAGAATTGGGTGCAAATAAAGCATACGAGGGGAGGAGGAAGTGGGATTTCGGTTAAAATGAAAGCAGCTTACACACTCCGGATTCCCTTCCATAACCGCGCTGCTTACGACCACGAATGCGACATAACCCTGCACATGTTCCCTTAAACGGGTACTACTCCCATTCGGAGTCCCGCCCAGAGTCAACCCTGCGTTGCGCAGTTCGCAACGGCACGTTGAGAGATCCTCAACGCACGCTGTATGGGCGGAGACGCAGACGGCTCGAGCATGCG